AGCCAGAACTGCCATTTCCTTTTCCTGCTTCCTGAGGATAACTTTGCAAATCGGTAGAGCGCTCCTAAGATACCTCCCCAGGAGGGAAAAGGTAGTCATCAGCTGGAAAAACTTAGGGAATCTTTTTCTCCAGGTCAGCCACGAAGACTGGAAAGCTCTCTGAGCTTTATGTCGTTTCTCGTTCAGTAGCTGTGGGGAACTTGACGTGCTCTCCAGTCCCTGAGCAGGCATGAAAAGGCGGGAAGCAGAGCCTGCTCTGCGGTTCTCACGAAGGGTGCTCTCGGTCTTGGGCGAGCTGCCTCATTTCACGGCGGGGTCTCCTGGACCGTTACTTCAGTTTCTGCAGAAGGGCTGTGCACGTGGAGAAAGGGTGGGCGGGTGCTACAGAGCAGGGCCAGGGTGAGGTTTTACAGAAAGTGCACAAGGTTGAGGGCAGCAGTTCCCTGACTGCCCTGAGTGGGGCTGCTCCACGGGAGGTGGGAGGAGAGGACCCGGATGGAGGAAGCAGGCACGGTTAGGCAGGACCTCCCAGCTCCCAGCTCCCGGGACAGGAAGGCTCCAGAGCCTTACCCCTGCCACAAGAGAACTGCATCCCCTCAGGCAGTGCCTTAAATACTGCTGTGCCTCGGTTTCCCCAAGAGTAGAGTGAGTTAGGAAGAGCAGCCTGAGCGGGCCATCCTGAGGATTATTGCACAGAGTAAGAATTTTACAAGTGCTGCCTCTGCTGCCGTCGTGAACGGGACAGTCGGGTTCCAAACCTGGGCTGGCCCTGTACAGTAATCAAGTGCCTCAGTCTCCTCGCTATGCAAGGAGGACAGCAGCCGCTCCCCGTGTGCCAACCACTTAGAAGGAGGCCTGGAAAGCTGCCAGTGGCTGTCGCCCACCATCACTGTCATCGTCATCGTCACAGCCTTCTTCCTGAGTCCCAGCTTCTGGGGCACGGGTGACATCAAAGCCAAGTCCCTGTCCCTAGGAGGGCACAGCACAGTGGGGAAACACAATAAGTCCGTGAGTGTGGAAATATACGCACGCCTGACGATGCCGGGGGCGGGGAGCTGCGTGAGGGGGGTGGGGAGAGGACACGCCCGTGCCACAGAGGCCTGGAGCTCTGCGTGCCAGGCCGGAGCTGGGACTGGGCTTGTGGCACTCTGGGGACCTCCGTGAGGCTGGGCCACCATGGTGGGGAGTAGTGTGTGCAGGAGACAGGAGGGGCCAAGCCTGGCCTGACTGTGGGCCAAGGACTTCAGCCCCCAGGCAGGAAGAATCATCCTTGTGCAGAGCCCTCCCTGAGCATCAATCACCCTGCAGAACTGGGAACCTCCTGCAAAACACTGGCCCCCTTCCTCCGGCCCCTCCGCCCAACCAGGTCTTTATCACCACCACCCCCTGTTGTTTCCCTGCTGCATGAAAAATAACTCGCTCATCTCCTTTGTTCTGTCCAAATTCTGAGAAAAGGCGTTTGGATTTCCCTCAGAGAACAGTGGCCCATCTACACCGGTTCCCCCACAGACCCCGGGGCTGGGCCACCACTGTCACCTCCTCGGAAGCCAGGGTTGTGGGGTGGGGGCTGGGCTCTTATTTCTGTCCTGGGCACCCTTCATTCTACAAATGAGGCCTGATACCGGACAAGCTAGGCGGAAAAACGAGCTGCCTCCTCTGAGAAGGCGAGGGCTTTCTGAGTCACCCTGCGGCGGGGGCTGGGGCCACTGTCACCTTGGATCAGGATAAAAACTGGTGAGGCCCTAACATGGGTCCAGCTTAGTTAACTCTGCAGAAAATGATGGAGAGCTAATGATGTGGGATTACGGAGTGCAGCTTGAAATTTATTGGCGATGGTGCAGGAATGCGGGAGGCAGAAGGAGTTACTGGAAAGACCCGCGTGGGTTAGAGACCTATGCGGGGGGGGGGGGGCGCCTCCCCTGATCTTCAAAGGAGCCCAGTCTCCCTCAGCCTTTTTTTTCCTAATCTACCAACCATCCACACGGCCTCACCAGGTTGCTAAATTACCCGGGCTGGGCTTGAACTTGTGATCTTCGGGATCCTGGAGTCACATGGCTCTGTGGTTAACGCTTCAATGAACCGTTAGACTGTTTCCCACAGTAGCTGCGCCCTACCGCATTCCCACCAGCACCCTCCGTGCTCCAGTTCCGCAGGACCTCGCCTGTACTTGCTGTTTTTCATTATAGCCATGCGGGCTGGGGGTGGCCGGGAGAAGTGATCTCTCTTTGTGGTTGTGATTTGCACTTCCCTGGTGGCCAGAGATGTTGAGCGGCCCCTCCCCCGATGCAATTCTCAGCTCCACAGAGGCCTCTGAGTAGCTCTTCTGGGGAGATTCCTGTTCAGATCCTTCGGGCATCTTTTAACTTTATTCCTGAACTGCAGCGGTTCCCGCTATGTTCTAGGAGCCGGTCATGAACCAGTTATGACTATAAAGAATAAACCACAAGTCCTCCTGCTGGCGTGGTTGGGCTGCGGTCCGGTTTTCTAAGGCTCCAAGAGGTACCCAAGAGTAATCTAAACAATCCTTTTCAGTTAAACGTGGTGTGTGTTAGAAAATGCTGAGGAAGAACACGGTCCCGTGGGAGGCGAGAAGATTTCTTAGGGGGACACGGGCCCACGAGGGGCAGGGAGTACAGGAAGTGATCTGGTTCACAGATAGGACAGGAGGCAGGGCAAGGGCCAAGCCAAAAGAAGGAGCCCGGAGGACTCAGTGAACTACACCCTGGTATGATGGCCAAGGCCAGGGCACCAGAGGTGCCACAAAGGCCTCATTAGATTGGCAGGATTTTCCTGCCCAGAAATAAGATGTTCATACTGCTCTGTAAAGAATGCCTTAGTTCTGTTTAAGGTTACAACGAATGGCGCTTACAAAAGAGCACCTGCTACATACCCTGAGTTCCTACAGGCCCTTTTCTAAGTCAAACTGTCCTGCTTGTAACCCCATAGGTTGGTCCCAACTGGGATGACTGAGATGTAGTCACTTGTGTGTATAAAACCCACTTGTGTGTATAAAACTCCCCAGGACAAAAGAGTGCCCTGGGGAGTGTGTTCGGGTTCCCATCCCAGGTCTCCCTGGGGGCTGTTTGCTTTTGGGTTACAGTAAATGCCACTTTCTGCTCTGCTCTACAGTAACAGACTTTTGCTCTGTCCTCTTTCAACTCTCTACCTTGTGATTCTTTTGAGAATAGAACCCACCAGCCACACAGTAATGGGCCAAATATTTTCCTGCCTTCTGTCAGTTGTCTTTTGACTGTCTCAGTGCTTTGCTTTAAAGGATGAATGTCTTCCCTTTCGACGAGATCCAGCTTCTCTTTTGCTGCTTGTCCTTTGGGTGTCATTTCTAAGAACCACTGCCTAACTCGAGGCCACGAAGCTTTATCCCTGCGTTTGCTCCTCAGAGCTGTCTAGGTTCTGCTCTTACAGACAGGTCTCGGATGCATTTCGGGTTGTGTTCTGCGTGTGGAGCTCATAGAGGTGCAAGCGCATCTCTGCACGCAGATATCCAGGCGTCTCAGTACCACTGGAGGAAGGACTCCTCTTCCCCCATGAGCCTTTTGGAGCTCCTGCTGGGAGAGGCAGTCTTCCATGTTGTGTCTTCTTCTAAAAATATTCCCAGAACACACAAATGCATACAGTACATGTGACACATGTGCATATATGTTTTCAAAATATAGTAACACATAGCATAAATTCACCCCTACCTTGATTTTCTTCCTGTACCACCATACTCTGTAACCTTTCCTGGGCAGCTCACTGAGTCGAATTTCTTGTTTTGAGAACATACTCAGGGCAGGGTCCATGGCTGCACTCCAGTGCGCACGTGCTTCTTATCAACTTGGAAGAACCAGGAGGTGGGATTTTGAAATGTGTTTATGCTGGGGAAGGACTTGGGGAATAAACAGTTAAAGTATTTTAAACTGCCAGATTTGGTGGCACATGCCTGTGATCCCAGCACTCAGGAGGCTGAGGCAGGAGGACTGTTGAGAGTTCAAGACCAGCCCGGGCTACAAAGTGAGCTCAAGGCCAGCCTGAACTGCATAGCCAGACCCTCTCTCACAAAGGCTAAATAAATAAATAAATAAATAAATAAATACACAAAAAATAAAGCATTTTGCATGCAAGCTACAGCTGAAGCCAAGATGTGGGAGCAAGCCAAGGCGTGCTGTGTAATGACCTGCCCTCCACGCACCTCATCTCAAAATCTGGCAGGACGGTGTTACTGGCGTGGGCGGGGTCTGAGGTCGGGAGGGCCCAGGGTGGGCTGCCTGGAGTGACTTGAATGCCCAGCCTCCCCTCTATTGTGCTTATTCTGAATGCATCTCCTTTGTGTGAGCTGCATCTCATTGCTTAACATTTTATGGAAACAATATTGCAAAGTTCATAAATCCTAGATTCCAGCTCCAGGAACTCCCACAAAGCAAACCACTGTAACCCACATGTGGAAGGAAAGACAGGGTGGACCCTGAGCCCTGCCCAGCGCGGACGTGGACACAGGTGCAAGCACACAGTGTTCTGGGTTCTGGCTTTCCTGAGCAGCACGTTGATGAGGTTTATCCAGGTTGTCTGGTGGAATTACTCATTGTCCATGTGGGTTGTGAATTGTCAAAGCTCTAGGGAAATAAATGGATGATAAGAAACCTGGAAATGCATCTAGAAATATGTGGGGAGGGGGGTACACACGCACACTTAGTTGTGTACACATGCATATACACAAGATCTAGAGATACACATCTCCGGGGGCACCAAGGAGCACACAAACATCCCCAGCAAACACCCCAAGACCGCCCCACTGTCCTCTCGATGTGGAGGGCCTTGCAGTGGGCTCAGGCTGGCACTGCCATGCAGAAGCAACACACCTGTGACTCCTGACCCACCCCCCAGCCTGGTTCCGCCAGGATCACTCTTTCCCACTGAGGAAACCCAGGCTGAGAGAGAACCTGCAACCTGCCCTGGGCCCACAGCCTGGCCCGGGCACCGCTGATCCGCTCTTGACCCCACAGGTGGAGGAGGCGGGTTCCCCAGGGCCCCAGCAGCCTCGTGCCGACCGCTGCCCACCGCCCCCGAGGACCCTGCCCCCTGGAGCCTGCCAGGCCTTGCGCTGCCAGGCTGACTCTGAGTGCCCACGACAGTGGCGCTGCTGCTACAACGGCTGCGCCTACTCCTGCCTGGAGGCAGTGCCACCCCCACCAGGTAAGCAGGGATGGGGGAGGGGGAGCTTGATGGTGCCAGAGCTGGGCTTGGGGAGAGCGAAGAACTTGAACCCGGCCTCACTGCCCTTGCCCTGCGCAGTGACAATGGCAGCAGCTCCTTGGGCTCTCTCCACCTGCACTTATGGAGCACCTGCTGTGTACGAGGCACCTGCCTGGGTCCTGGGAGCCCATAGCCTAGGAAACCCATAACAGAGACAGTGTCACTGCCCATGAGGACAGGGTAGGGTGAGATTCTTCCCTAAAACACAATCCAGATTTGGGGCTTTTCTGTAAACTATCCAGCCCCAGTCCCTGGGCCCCAGATGCCCCATGCCCAGGTCCTTTAGTGTCCCTGGACCCCACCAGGCCCTCTGGCAGTGAGGCCTGGCCCTGGGGGTGTGCAGGAGAGGGGACCTGTAAAGGGCAAGGCGGAGGTCTAGTCCACTGGCCAACGGGCACCTCCTTCAGGTGCCACCCAGGTTGGAAATGACAGTGCAGCTCAGGGAAAAAGGGGTCATTGCCCGTGCTAAGGGCAGCCGGGCTGGGGTGTGCAGGACCAGACCGCCAGGTCTCAGGGAGGAGAGCAGGGGGTGTGCCTGGCGGGATGGTGCAGGTCCCTCGTGGAGGGAAGGTTTGGGAGCAGAGGGCTTGGGGAGGATGGGCGCAGGGGGGGGGGCGCAAGGAGCCCCTTCTGCAGTAAGAGTAGGGGCCCTGCTGGGCTGGAGTGGCAGCAAATCCTCCCGGGCGGAGGCTGTCTGGGTGGCACTGTTGGCTGTGATGACAGAAGGTGGCCCAGCCCCTCCTGCCATGAATGACTGCACCTGGTTTCCCTGGAGTGGGGTCACAGCCGAGAAAAAGACCCAGCACACTTGATGCCTTCCTAAGCATGGGAAATGGCGCCCCCTGCTGGTGCAGGGGCTCAAGGCACTCCCCGCTGACTAAGCCAAAAAGAGTGGCACCAGGCACGGAGGTTCTAGCCTCACTCGCTCCCTGTGCAACTGTACCCAGCATTCCCAAAACCTCCCATGCACCATCTCTTCTTAGGCTCTCTCAGCTCCATGGGGTGGAGATGGTTATCAGCCTTCTTTATAGCCGAAGGCACCGAAGCTCAGAGACATTTGCCCAAAGTCACACAGCAGGCATCGTGGCAGTTTTAGTCCAGTCATCTGGCTGTGAAGAAGCATCCACTGCCTTAGATCCTGAATGCAGGGATGTGGGGCCATGTCCAGGGTCCCTACCTAGAACACCCTCCCTGGGGACACCCAGCAGGCTCACCTCCTCGCCTCCTTCAGACCTTTGCCCAGGGGTTTTTTGGGGGGCGCTTTTCCTATGAGAACAGCAGTCCCTCTTCTGGGCAAGCCTTCCCCTCCTTGCTGCAAGACTGCACTGGCTGTGTCTTGTGCTGCCTGTCCCTGCCTGAGGGTCAGCGCCATGGGCCCAGTCCTGTGTCTCTGGGCCCCTAAGAGCAGCTCAGTAAGTACTGCATGGCTGAGTCCATCCTGTCAGTCACTGACAGCAGGCACCTCTTGTTACCAGCTACGGCAGTCTTGAAATCATCTAACACAGATGTCTCGGCCTTGGCACTGGACACTGGCTGGGGTGGTCTAGTCGGGGGCACTGTCCTACGTGCTGCAGGTGTCTAGATGTGTCCTGGTCTCTGCCCTCTGAGGGTGTGCTGGGAGCCATTGTGCTTCCTCCTGGGAGCCTCTGGGGTAGCACAGTGGCGCCCCCCTGCCCCAGGCTGGGCGTGTCTCGGCCTCTTCCACCTGACTGTGTGAAGCCTTAGTTCTAGACTGGCTGGTGCAGCCGAAGCCACGGTGGCTGGGAGGCAACGGCTGGCTCCTGGATGGCCCTGAAGAGGTGCTGCAAGGTGAGGGACCCGCGGGGAGCTGACCCCGCCTCTGGCCTGGACCCCCTCCCACACTGCGGGCAGGAGACCGGCAGCACCGGGCTGTCTGCCCCCGGGGCCCAGGGCATCCTCAGCCCTCCTGACCCCCACTGAGCGCCAAAGGGGGCAGCTGGCACCTCCCCCAGATCCCACAGCCCAGTCCAGAAAGGGGGTTGATTTCCCTGGGCATGGGGCTGCCTTCGGGGTGGAAATGGAAGGACAGGGCCGTTTCCAGACCTGAGATCCTAAGACGGGTTTGTTGCTTCTCTGCATGGTGGCCTCCTGGGGCTTCTATTGGAGCGACCCACAGGCCGAGCCCAGCAAGGCTGATGGAATGTGTGTGTGTGTGTGTGTGTGTGTGTGTGTGTGTATGCGTGCATGTGCACGTGCGCCTGGGACTCCGTGCCCATCTGTGTACGTGACTGGGTAGCTGTGGCAGCCCACGCATGTCCCCGTGGCTGTATGTACTAGCGTGTGTGTCGGCGATTTGTGTTGACTGAGCAGGTGTGTGTGTGACTGTGTGTGAGCCTTTGCGATGGCAGGTGTGACAGCATGCATTTCGAGGGGTACCTGAGCACACACGGATGGCTGTCACTCGTGTGGGAGGGCCTGTTGGGTCCCGTGACTGCGCTGCCCCATGTGCATGTGTCGGGGTGTGCATGTGCCACCAGGAGAGAGCTTCAGCAGGTGAGAGGCGCCTCTCTGCACGCCTTGGAGTCCGAACCCAGCTCTTCCCTCGAGCCCGGTGCATGTCCCTCCCACAGCAGAGGCCTGCAGCACCACCAAGGACGGTGCAGAGCCGCTGCTCTGTCCCTCGGGCTATGAGTGCCACATCTTGAGCCCAGGGGACGTGGCCAAGGGCATCCCCAACCACGGGCAGTGCGTCAAGCAGCGCCAGCAAGCAGGTGAGTGTGGGCGCCCGGGCCTGCTCCTGGCCCCACGGTCCTGGACCCCCAGTCAGAGCCTTGCCTCAGGAAATGATCCCAGCACCCAGAGGCTGGCCCACCGCTCCTCCGCCCCTCACAGCCAGAGTCTCTCTCTTGTCCTGCCACGAGGCACAGGACGTGCACTCTCAACTCAGCAGACTGACTGCATCCAGTTCCGAGTTTCCTAGCTGGGTGACCCAGGGGTCAGATTCTTCATCTCCCTAGGCCGAAGTTTCCTAACCTGTACAATGGGGCTACTACGTGTTGCTATGGGAACCACTGAACTTACATGTCAAAGCCCATGGAGCAGAGTTAGGTAGTGAGGGGCGGTCAGTGATAATATGAGGTGGTCAGGGCCCTGTTATAAGACCAGTAAGACAGGAGTAAACCAAGCCAGTTCAAACCTGTTCAAAAGGGTGCCAATCGGTGCAAAAAAGACCCATTTCCGGGATGGAGCTAAGAAAGAGAGCGGACAAATGATGACTTGAGTGAGGCCAACAGCCGCTTGCACCCCTCACAGCACCCTGAGTTTCACTGCCTAAAAAAGAGAAATGTAGCCAGGTGTGGCAGCACAGGCCTTTAATTCCAGCACCCTGGGAGGCTGAGGCAGGGTGATCACAAATTCAAGCCCAGCCTGGCCAACTTAGTGATTCAGCAAGATCCTGTCTCAAAAGAAAACATCACAAAGGACTGGGATGCAGCTCAGTGTTAAGGCCCTGGGGTCAACCCCAGGACTAAAAAGCAATGTGACGCAATGCTCAGTGACCTGATGGAAGCCAGGGCTGGAGGTCAGGGCC